GGGGATTAGACTGCTTAAGGTGCTTTGCCCTTTTTCAAGCCAAGGGTGAAACTCAGATTAAGGTGGCATAGGAGACTGAGGCCCCAGTTGTGTTTCAGCCTGACCTTGTTGTGGAAGAATAGACAAACCTCACAAATATTTTGAAGTTTATCATCTCTAATTGGACAAATCATCCAAGAAGTCCATGATCATACACATCTCCACCACAGGACTTAGTCCCCAGGACACCCAACACCACAAGCACCAAAACACTGTCTTGGACTTTGATGTTCCTAGTGAGTCTCTTCCAACTCAGAACACTCTGTGAACTTACTGTGCACTCAGCTATTATTGAGGCACTGATCATCAGCTTCTGCCTAGTCCAATAACAGAGATGTAGGTGGATACTTTCCTGGTGGGTATTTCATAAACCATCTCCAATACCCTCCCTTTTAAATTCAGTTTTTCCAAACATTTTTCCATGTTTGCACAGATGGTACCCAAACAGTCATAGGGGAGCTAAGCCAGGAAGAGAACTGGCACCAGTTTGCACAGTTGGGAAAAGGTGCAAAGCACAGTCAGGGGATTTACACCCAGGGCTGCAGGGAGAGCGTGTCAAGAAGGTACCTGGATATAAAGATAAGGCTCAGCAGCAGAGACAGAGCTGCAGTCCAGTGGCTCAGAGCAGGCACATCACGCCAGGAGCAGCTCTTGTGCAGCTGATAGACCCTTAAGAGATAAGGGGCAGAAATGTTCTTGCTGCCTGTGGTCAATCTATCTAACCACACACAATCTCTCTGCATAAAAATACCCAACAAAAAAAAAAAAAAAAATCAACCAGCTTTAACTCCAGTAGCCAAAAATTGTGACTTACCACAAGGGCCAGAGCATCACTATAGGTGCAGAGAAGTGATGTCCATGCTGCTGCCTCTTCTCCCAGGGAAGTGATGGCCATGTCACAGTTTCTTGATTCTTCCCACAGTTCCTACACATTCCACTGCAAACTACCCTCCAAACACCAAGCAGCAACCCCTGACTGGTATTTATAGACAAGCCCAACCCTCTGCCCTCAAGAGATTGTGAACCACTTACACCTGAGCAAGCTGCAATTAAGGCATTGACACTACCATTTTCACCTGAGGCTTCTGATGGTGCAAATGCTAACCAGAAACTTGATGATTATTTTGCTTTCCACAAAAAGACCAACCCACTTCCCTAGAAATAATCTTCTAGGATTGACACATGATTAAATTAGAAAAATCCTATAGGATGGGAATAGGGAAAACTGTTTGAATGTGAGTTTGGGTTGCCTATGGCAGTGTCTGGACTCTTGTGTGAGTGGGGAACACAATGCCAAGCAGTTCATTACACAGATGATTAGTGCTGCTAATTGTATAAGGTTTGGATTTTTCCCTTCTGATTATTTGATAATGATGAAAATATAACCAAGGTTAAATTTAAAGCAGATTTTTAAAAGGGTATTGCCCTTACAGGTGCACCCAGGGGTTACACAGCCTTGTCATAGTCCTCTGAATGCAGCAACTCTAACTTTTCCCACATCAGTAATGAATCAGTTTGGGTCCTAAGCAGAAACTAAAGGTCATCATTAACTCATGCTCTTAAGGGAAGACTCTGTAGTCATCTCTTTGCCTAACACTGCAACGTGTGACACATAGTGCCTGAAATGTGGGAGATTTGTTGGGGATTTTGGAGTTTGCTCTGGCTGGTGATAGAGAAATATTTTTTTCAGAGGCACAGGGATGAAGAAGCATTTGGATCAGATTTTGGCTCCATTCAGCCTTGCAGTTTGTCTCTAAAGCTGGTAGATGCTTAGCAAAAACCCATGAGAGCAGCAGCAGCTGCTGAGCTTTGGGGGTGTCCAGTCTCTCCTCCCTGAAATACTCTCACTGCTTTGACCTCATTTATATCCACCTTACCATACCACCCTGTGCTAATAAGTTGCATGGTTTAAGCATGTGCTGCAGGAAAAAATACATCCTTCAGCTTGTTTTGAAGCCTCTGCCCACTTTCACTCAGTGCCAGTTTGTTCTGCGTTATGGAAACCTGTGAGCAATTTTCCCCTCTTCAAACCCTGCAGGTCTCTCATTGATGTATATTTAGACACCTGTAACATGTCCCTCTCAGCTCCCTCCTGCCAACTGGAAGGCAAAACCTTCCCATTCTGCTAGTCAGATAGAAAAAACCCATTAGAATAGTTTTCCAAAGAGATACAAGAAGACATATCTTCATTGGGTCTCTTATTAGGACAGGAGTGGAGAGGCAATTTCTTCTAGCAAAAGACTTTCTGAGCCACCTTCTTGCTATGGGCTGTCCCTACCCATTCTGAGGGGGAGAGGACAGAAGGAATAGGACAGGAAACAGAACTACTCGTGGTTTCTTTTCATCTTAAAGCATCGCTGCATCAAGTTTCACACCTGAAGAGTGGCTGCAGCTCTCTGGTTTCCCCTTCATGCCATGTGTACAGTGGAGCTGCCACCCTTGTGCCCCTGCTGTGAGTGGGGAGCTCTGCCCATCTCTCTGCACTGATCTCAGCACAGAAGTGGGAGAGATGGACAATCAGAGAGGGTGATTTTTGTTGGGTGATGTTTATGGGAGCCTCACTGCAGCAGCCCCAGCAGCGTTGAGGCTGCAGGAGGACTCTGGGGGGGAGAATCAAGGGTCCTGCTGTGAGAACAGAGACACACACAGGGGGAAAACACATTTATGGAGAGAGGAATCAGGAAGGTCTGTGCCCCACAGATTGCTAAATCTGTGCCTTTTGCCACAGTGATCCTGCTGAGCAGGGCTTGTCTCCATGGGATATAGTTATCACCCTCCCTGTACCTGAGGAGGAAAGTTTGGTGTAGATACAGACAGGCCAAGACACCTTTTGCAGCTTCAAGAAACAGAGTTTTATTAAGCACATGTTGATACCTCCCCAGTTCAGGTGACATAGTACAGCTCACACTCAGGGCCTCTTTTCCAAACCAATTTGAGGGGTTGTTACATCCCATGCCAGGTAGTGTGGTTTGTCCTTTTACACAGTCTTATTGTTGCTGCAAGTCTTTATTAGCTATAAAATTATTAACAGGACATGCTTAACAATTGTCCTTTTTCTCCAGAGCCTGAAAAATTCATAGAATCCCAGAATGGTTTGGGTTGGAAGGGACCCCAAAGCTCATCTTGTTCCACCCCCAGTCATGGGCAGAGAGACCTTCCACCAGCCCAGGTTGCTCCAAGCCTCATCCAACCTGGTCTGGAACACTCTCAGGGATGAACCAGCCACAGCTTCTCTGAGCAACCTGTGCCAGTGCCTCAGCACTCTCAGAGCCAAAAATTTCTTCCTAGTGTGTAATCTAAACCTACTCTCTTTCACTTTTATTCCCCCTTGTCCTGTCACTCCAGGTCCTTTTAAATTGTCTCTCTTCATCCTTCTTGTTCGTCCCTTCGGGTACTAGAAAGCTGCAACTAGGTCATCCCAAAGCCTTCTCTTTCTCCAGGCTGAACAATCCCAATTCTCTCAGCCTTTCCTCAGAGCAGAGCTGCTCCATCCCTCTGATCAATTTGGTGGCCTCCTCTGGACTCACTCCAACAGGTCCATGTCCTTCCTAGGACCCCAGAGCTGGATGCAGCACTCCAGATGGGATCTCTCACTTGAGTAGAGCAGAGGACAGACACCAAAAGGAATAGGATAGTCCTGTGAGTGACAGAACTGGCAAAGTGGAGACTCACAGGAGTCTGAGCTAGGAGATTGAGCTCCCAGTGTCATCTCTGGTTTCCAGCAGGGCTGAGCAGACAACAGTTTTTTGATCATGAAAGTGCATGGCTGGGACAGAGGAAAACACTTTGAAGTTATTCATTTACTTTGAGATCTGTCTTCTTCCAGCATATTGGGCTGCATTAGTCCAAAATGCCAAAAAATATTTAGGGTTGACATAGACAGTAACATCCGAACTGCACCAGACTCCTTTCCTCAGGAAAAAAAAAAATAGAGACAAATCATGAAAGAACTGAGGTCAGGAAGTTATACTTGGAATATATCCCTGAGAATTATCTTTGGCTTGTAAAGTGAGGTAAGTGAGGAGGTTTTGGAGCCCTCTGTGTGAGGCTGCTGCTCACTGAGGCTTTCCCAAAGGCTAAGCAGTCAGAAGGCAGAACAGGCAGGGAAGGTGTCCCAGCAGATACAGGAATACATTCACTATATGCAGCATCTGCAGGAGTGAAAATTGCCTGTGCAATTCCCAAATGCAGAAAGATCAGTTTGGAAAATGCCTTATTTAAAAAGAAAGAAGCAAAACTAAAATATGTTTTGTGTTTCAATAAAAAAAAAAAAACCAAAACAAAAAACAAACACCAAAACCCAGATATTTAGTCCTCAAAAATAACTCTTGCCAAGATAAATGAAACTGTCTTCTGAACCACATCGTGTCTGGTCATAGAGAAAGAGTTTGTTCTCTCTGAAGGCAAATGGTGATAAAATGGGAACAAAATGGACTAGGTTCTGCTCTCATTTCATGCCAGTGTAAATCCATAGTCATTGAGTCACTATCCCTCTTTTTTTTTCTCCAGGCAGCTGAGGGAAACTGTTTCCATTGATAGTTTCTCATGTCAAGCAATTAAGACTTGAGACACGTTCATGAAGATGAAGGTGATGACGAAGCAAAGGTGATTAAATGGTTGCCACCCCAAGCAGCTGCAGTTGTGTTACGTGGAGCGGAAACCACCTCCACTGCCTTAGCCTCTTCCTGCTCCTTCACAGTTCAGATTTTAATATTCTCTGTTAGCAGAGCACCAGGTGAACTTAGTGACCACAGCACCTGACCCACCAAGACAATCATCATAACCAGATGCTGTAGTGATGCAGCCCAGGCCTAGAAACTCCCTTGGCATTTATGCAGAGCGTGGAAAATAATGTCCCTCTTCGAAGAATAAGGCATTTCCCTTCCACCCTCTCCTTCCAAACCCTTCATGTCTTTGGAAGGTCTTGCCCTGGCCCCACAGTGAGCTATTCCTCTGCAGCCTCACTGGGAGTCCAGGACATTCTCCTCTAAGCTGCTGAGGGTTTTGGTCTTGATCCGGAGCTTGTGAGGGAGAGCAGCAGAGCTTTGGCCCTTCAACTGATCCTCCAAAGGGCAGGGCAGGCTGCAGGGAGGGGGAGGAGAGGTTTTGGGCACTTGTTGCTCATCATCTTCATCAGAGACTGTTGTTGTGCTGCTTGCTTTGCTCACCTCAGTGGCACCCGGGGAAGGGCACAAGAAGCAGGTGCAGCCTGACCAAGGCCAAAGGAAAGGATATTTGTCTGGGGAGTGGTAATTGAGGTATGGAGAATGAACTGTGGAGCTGAAGGATGCATCGAGCCTCTTTGTCAGTGGAACACCAGGTGTGCCCATGGGAACTGGCTTTGAATCACAGCCAAGGATGTTTCTGGATGGGTCAAAGGTTTTGAAGGAAAAGTCAGCTGGTTCCAGCACCATGGGCACAAAGCTCTTCTCTGCAGAGAAACAGGACTCCCTCACCAAGGACTCCACCCCGAGCAGTGGCGACGCTGCCCTGTGCCCTCTGAAGTAAACCCCCAGGGAGCAACCCTGGTAGGTACTGGTGTCTGGGCTGATGAGCCCAAAACGCAGCTTCAAGGACAGCAGCTCTGTCCTGAGGATGGCATTCTCCTTCCTGAGAACAGCCAGCTGGTTCTCCATGGCCACATCATTGAGACGTCTCTTCTCCCGCGAGCGCTTGGCTGCCTCGTTGTTCTTGCGCCTCTTCTCCCAGTACATGCTGTCCTTCTTCTCATCTGGCATGAACTCCCTCTTGCGCCGTGAGGGACCACTCACCTTGCCCAGGAGGAGCTGAGTTTTGCTCTGCTGGAGCCTGAGCTCACTGGCAGTGCTCAGTGGGGCCATGAGGTTCTCCATGGTGGTGAACACAGTGTGGGTTCTGCCAAGATTAGAACATAAAACTATTACCACTAAAGGTGTTATCAATTCATCAAAGAATCGTAGAATTTTAGGGGTTGGGATGGAGCTGAGAGATGATCCAGCCCCAACCCTACTGCCCTAGGCAGGGACACCTCCCACCAGAGCAGGTTGTTCAAGGATTCATCCAACCTGTGAACACTGCCAGGGTTGGGGCAGCCACAGCCTCCCTGGGCAACCTGTGCCAGTGTCTCACCACCCTTACAGGGAAGAGTTTCTTCCTAATAACTAATCTAAACATACTCTCTTTCAGTTGGAAGCTCTTTCTGGAAATCAGCTCCCTCTTTAAGGTATTCCCAGCGAAAACCTAACAAATGAGGCAGAAAAGATCCCTGACAGATTCAAACATCAAACAATGTCAGGATGTATGTAAAATGAGTTCCACCATACACACCCAGAGTTACATGTGTATCATAGGGCTGAAATGTGCACACTGGGCCTGAAGATGCTGATCTTCTGTAGAAGCTGTTTGGTTAAACATTCTGCTGCTTGCAGATGAAATATCAGGTATTTAATTCTACAGATTTAGAGGTTGTCGTTCACAGCCATCTCTGCACAATGCAGATGTGCAAAACAGGCAAATCCCCATCTAAGTTTGCTCAGTGTGACCTGAGTTTAGTTCTGGTTTAAATCAGGACAAGTCCCATGAGAGTATTCTCTGTCCAAATCTGTGGGATTTTGTAATTAAATACACTTTCTTTTCATTTATCCCTAAGTCCTGGAGATCTCAGACAATATGCAAAGGTTCTGAGGGTAACTAAAGACCGAAACAAAGAATGTCTCTAAGCATAAATAAGTTTGGGATAATTCCTCTGGTTTTTGATCTTAATAACTTCTGACCTCAAAGCATCAAAAGAAGAATCTCAGTGAGGGTACCTGTGGTTTCTCACAGTGTCAAGAGGCAGAAATACAATTTTTTTTCAGGGCTTAATCACTTACCAGGAATTGTTCAGGTTAGGATGTGACATGACTTGTTTGTTGAATGAGTCAAAGATCAACAAGTGTTTTTTTTGCTGGGCAAACTCATCACCTGCATTGGGCAAAGCAGGTTGTTTCTCCTTGTCTTTCTTTTGCTTCTGGTGTCGTCAGAAGGAGATCCTGGAAGAAGTTTCCAGGTCACTGTACCAAATGTTCACTATCCAATAATGCTGGGAAATAAAAGGAAACCAAAATAGACATTTGTGAGACAGAACAAAAAGTAATGGCAAACCAGAATGACAAACCTTCTAGCAAACTCTGTTTGTTTGACCTTTCCCTCACTTGTTCAAACCTTCACACTCAAATTGCTTAGGCAAAGGTAGAAATTTCCCCTGTGCTCGAAGCAAATGGAAGTGAAATAACGACAAGTGAGGGCTGAGTCCAGGGAAAGAAGCAGGAGCCAAACCACTGACTTGGAGGTGGGGAAGGTTTGGAAGGAGGTTGGGTGTGAAGTGGGAGGTAGGGGAAGTTCTTATCGGAGGCAGGATCTGACCTTTTAAGGTCAAGGAATGAAGATTGAGCTGGGCCAGTATATGAAAGCATCAAATTTAGGCCACAGAGTCTAAGCTCTACCTGTTATTTATATCTGCAGCCCACAAAGTCACACCTATACCCACATGACATGTGTCTCAGGACTCTTCAGGGCTGCAGGCTCCGGCGGTCGAGCGCGCGGAGTCGCACACAACTCAAGGACCAGTGGAAACATTAATATTAGCACCGACATTAGAATATTTTGGTCAACTGCATTATGCAACGTGCATAATGGGATCTGTTGCTTCTGTGGCTGTAGGTGTAGAGTACAGTTACTAGTGTCTTGCCACAGCATCAGCCACGTTCTGTGTTATCTGCATCCTGAGCAGAAGAGAGAGCACCAAAAACGCTGCAAAATGATGGTGTTTCTTCATTTTTCACCTCTGATTTGCACTCAATCCACTGGGTCTGTTCAGACAGAGCATCTTTCCAAAGCTCTACTTCCCCAGAGAGCAGCCTTTGAGCTTTCCCAATCTCTTGTCTTTCCAAGCAGGCAGAAAACAAGTTTCATTTTTATGCAAAGACTCTTAAAGATATACAACCAAACTGTCTTTACCACTTGTATAGTGCATCTGGTCAGCTGTGAAAGGCTAAATGTGTCATGTCCTGGTTTAATTTTCACCTCTGTGAAAGGCAGGACATGCAGCATTGAGGGACATTTGTATATGCACTCGATCTGCCTCAAAAAGATCCTCATTGCTGGTAAAACTGTTTTCCTTCCACTAACAGAAAACCACACTAGGGCTCAGGCTTTGGAGATTTGGTTCAGACCTATCTCTCTTTCTCTCCTTTCTCTCCACCCTGAGCAGCAGATCAGAGGGGACTCTGATGAATTGTACTTTCCAGCAGGTTGTGCAAAACCCTCCAGAATAAAACTTATCTCTCATAGGAACTGATTAATTGCAGATGTACAAGAAGATACACAAACCACACTCCCTCAGAAAACAGCTGGTGAATCTCCTCTCGTGAGCCTAAGATAAACACTCGACCCTCAGATTATTCTTTGTCCCAGGGAAGCAGTAAAATGTTTTTTCATAAAACACATAATTCCATTAGGAAATTCATTCACTTACAGACAATTTTTGGATGAGATTTTCACTCCCAGTTTCCTGATCGCACTCGTTTCAGCATCTATATATATATATATAAAAGCCAATCCATGGAAAAACATCACTGGTGTTTCCCTACCTTTGTTAAACTGGAAGCAGAATTTAGCACTGAAAGTTTCAATCAGCACAAAGTTGGAGCCAAACTTCCCTCGTCTCACGCTACTGTAAAGGAGCTCGAGAGCTGCTTTTTTTTTTTGCCTTTAAATGATCATAGAATCATAGAATTTAAGGGTTGGAATGGGCTTTAGAGTTCATCTAGTCCCAACCCTCCCTGCCATGGGCAGGGACATCTTCTCACTAGATCAGTTTGCTCAATGATATCACCCTAAACAAAATCAGAACTCGGCTCGTAATCTCAAGCCACTCTAGCACATCACTATCTAACCCACAGGAGTTATGAAGAATTTATACTGACAAAGGGAGATAAGAACCAGGGCCCAGTGAGCACGAGATGGTTTACAACAGGAGCCTCGAAGACTTCTCCCTCTAGCTCTGGGCTGCACAGACACTGCACTGCAAGCACCAGAGCAAACACCTTCTGATCTTTCTTGCTGTTTCTTCACCTTAGTAATAAGCAAAACCATTCAGCCTGTGGTTTGGTGGTATCTGACAGCATTCTCTAAACCCACTGGGCTGTTGAAGATGAAAGGGCTTCGTTGTACTTACTCATATTCCTGAGTATTTCCCATTCACGCTGAAGTAGTGGTTAACAGGAGCTGTTGAGGGAGAGTTGTTACTCACTTTTTGTATCTCAAGAGGAAATAAAAAGGTCTAGTGATTGAAGCAGGCAGCAAAGGAGAAAGCAGAGCAGAACCTGATGACCTCTGTGCTTAGACTCAGACCCAACTACTTCTGTGGCTGCTGCTGCTCTTGGGAGAATTGCTCTTGCTGGTGAAGCTTAAAACTCAGATTCAAAGCAAAACTGACTCAGAAACAAGCCCAGTGTGCCAAAGTCACAACTTTGCAGTGTCTGTTTCAAAAACATGAAGTGATGGTTGGCTCAAAGCACTAAATATTGCTGCAAGGCTGTCAGGGTATTGCAGGTTTCCAAAATGAAGTATTTTCACCATCAGGCCAGCTAAAAATCTGTTCTCTACTGAAGCTTTGCACTCATTTGGGCACCTGTTTGAAAATCATCTTCCAGGATTCTCTCTAGTGAATTACTGCTGAAATCTGGCCACAACCACAGATGCTGAACTCCCCCAAATCACATTTTTCTCTACAGATTCCAAGTCTGAAGGATATATTGAACTTTCTGTCGTACTAAAATTCTAGGCTCGAAGATACTTAATCACACTCACTGCAGCTTCATCACAACAGGTTGATTATTGAGAGCTTGGTAGAATTAGTCTTTTGATCTTGAGGTATGTGAGACTTCAAACCATGTGAACCCACCCCAAATTACCAAACCACCTGCAGCAGAACTTCTGAGTCTTACAGCTCATGAGGTGTATGAGCCTTCCTTGATTCCTCAGTCCTTGTGGTCAAAGCCCACAGAGCTGAGGCTGCACTGCTGATGGTAACAAGCCTCAAAACTAGCTCAGGTATTACTCAAGTTGGAACAAACTAACCTCTAAATTTTACTGTGGGTCTACAATAGACCATAAAACTGGAAATGTTCTGCAAAACCCTTAAACCTTGAAGTTACTAATGGTTCTTTACGAGTGACCGAGCTTTGCATTTCTTGCTCTGCACATGCCCCAGTGTGTGCTGCTGCTGGATAATCCTAGAATCACAGATTAGTGAAGTCTTCATGGTATTTCCTTCATTCAACTTGCCTCTGTGCCCAGGAAATCTGCCCCTGTCCCACCATGGCACAATGTAAGATACTTCATAACAGTGTTTGGTGATTTTCTCTGGGAAAACACTTTACAGCAATCCCTTTTCTCCCTCTGCTTTATTTCATAGTTTGGGTCAAAAGGATTAATTTTTGGGAAGATTATGCTTGGCAGGAATAGTTTAGTTCAGTTCTGAAATGGTGGAATTGGGGACTCAGCTGAAAACTGGAATTAATCTCTGTGGTCTACAACACAAGAAGGATATTAACCCATTGGAGCAAGTCGAGAGATCACTAAGTTGATCAGAGGGATGGAGCAGCTCTGTCCTGAGGAAAGGCTGAGAGAATTGGGATTGTTCAGCCTGGAGAAGAGAAGACTTCAGGGTGACCTAATTGTGGCCTTCCAGTAGCTGAAGGTGCTGACAAGGAAGATTGAGAGAAACTATTTACAAGGGTCTGGAGGGACAGGACAAGAGGGAATGGCTTTACACTGCCAGAGAGTAGGCTGAGATTGGATATTAGGAAGAAATTTTTGACTGTGAGGG